GATAAGGGGGAAAACAATTATAACCTTCATTAGGTTGTTGAAAAGCTGATAGCATCCTGAAGTTCTAAGATTTGGTATTTCTACATTTATCAGTGAGCAATGATTTAAGCCTTATATAGATAGATAGATAGATAGATAGATAGATAGATAGATAGATAACATTCTTCTGCCCTCTGGTGTTTAGTGCACATCATAGTGACCAGTTGTTCTGCTGTTCAATTGATATGCATATTAGGCTTTTATTATATAGGATGTTGTTATAAGTATTCATGTACATAGTTCTAGAGTAGAGAATTTTTTCTTAGGGTGCATTCTCACTAGTAGGTTTTGTAAACCTAAGGAATGCACATTTCAGGTATATCATGTAGTCCACGACACACTGTTTTCAAAGTTGATATACTGATTTTACTATAATCAATAATGAATGGAATTATCACTGCTCTATATCTTTGTGAAAACTTGATAGTATCTGACTTTTCTCCCTTATTTTCTGCTACAATATAATGCCTCATTGTGGCTGAAATTTTCATTTTACTAATTTTTAATATAGTTGATATTTTTTGTGCTTCTGAGATGTCAGTGCCTTCTTTTTGGTAAAATTACTATTTCTACTTTCAGTTTTTCAATTTTTTTATTTTATTGAGACACAAAGTTTTCTTAATTTTTAGTAAATATTACCCTTTTGTATATGGTGAAAATATCATATAACATATCTTATAGACTGTTTTTTTAAGTCTCTAGAAGTTTTAAATTTTGATGTAGTCAAATTTGGAAATCATTTTCATAAGGACAAGTTATGCTGATGTTCTATATTATCTTTTAAAAGCTAGTTTACCTTTTACATTTAGGTTTTAAATCCAACTGGTCCTCACTTTTATCTGTTGTAAGGTTGTGCTTAAATATTTACTTTTCATCTCTTTAAATATGAAAATTTATCTTTTTCTTCCTCATTCAGCAATGTTGACTCTATTATATATTACGTTATTATATTTGTGTTTTCTCATTCCTGTTCTCTAAGTAAAAATCTCTGAGCTAATATCATATCTTATGTACTATATTTTTATAACAATTACTGATATCTGGTAACGTTCATTCTTCCTTGAGAATGTACTGTCATTCTTAACATTATGGATTTCTTTAAAATTTTTTATTCAGCTTATCAAATTTTAAGTCACACATCCACTGTTACACCAAATTACTTGAATTTTAGAATTGAATTATCTTCATAAATTAGGGGGTAAGTGATACTTTTTAATATTAAACATTCATTCTTTGGTATACATTGTATTTATTTGCTGCTTTTTCATTATAATTAGGGATGTTTTTGTAATTTTATTCTCAGACATTTTCAGTGCTATTCCTGGAAAATTAATGTGATGTGGCTTTTGTTCATGTTATTGATTTTATTGAAATTCCACACTGTTTATTGCTGGTTATAGAAATGTTAATTTTAAATATTGATTTGAATTCAAAAAACTTTCTAAATTCTTCTATGAATTATAATAATTTACCTATAGATTATTTTGGACTTTTAATGTAGATATCTACATTGTGATATCTACAAGTAATGACAGTGTTTTTTGTTTGTTTTTTATTTGAGACGTTATACTTTTAACTCTTTTTGTTCTGATACAGCACTTGCTAGGAACTCCTGTGTAATCTTGAACAGTGGGTATTGGTAGCTACTCTTGACTTGTTGTTATCCTTAAGATTGCAAATTAGGCACTCTTGTTAAGGTTTTATCTAATGAAAATACATTCTACCATGCTTGCTAAGCCTTCTGGATGTGGTTTGCTGAGAGTTTATGAGTTTTATTTTATAACCTAAATGAATATTTATTAAAG